ATGGACCAGCGGCTCGCGCGAGGTGCTTGCGGAACTTAGATGCATTCTTGTGACTTGCGACTGTAGTGGTGGTAGTGGTAGTAGTGGTAGTGGTGGTAGTAGTAGTAGTAGAAGAAGTAGTAGTAGTAGCAGTAGCAGTAGTAGTAGTAGTAGTAGCAGCAGCAGCAGCAGCAGCAGCAGCAGCAGCAGCAGCAGTAGTGGCAGTACACTTCTGAGTTGGATGCGTATAGTGCTGCTTTTGCTTCGACGGGTACGTGTGCGAGTGCCAGTACCAGTACTTGTACTGCTGCTTTTGGTTCTTCTGCGCCCAGATTCAGAAGATACAAGAAATTGTGCAGGTGGAGTTCCCCGACTCATTGCTGGAGGTCGTGGCCGAGTTGCGTGAATTTCTGGCAGAGGAGTGATTGGTCCGGTCCGGAGTCCGGACTTGCCTGGCTTGGTTTCAGACGGATTGATTCAATTCATACTGGGTCTGCCGTGCGTATGATCAATATGCGTATCTGTGCAGGGTAGACTTTGGGAACAACTTGTGCCGAGGCAACCCTAAACCCTAAAGCCTAAACTGCCTAAACCATAAACCCTCAAGGCTTCCTCTAGAATCTAGAAGCACCCCGCGCGACCCCGAGCCTGCTTCCATGAATCTTTGCTCTGTAGATCTTGATGCATGCGATCCATGATATGGTAAGTACGTGTGGGGGTGGGGGTTCTTCGTCTTAGACGGTTCGCAAGTTGATAGGGTACTTGTCATCAAAGGAAAGGAAAGCCTTCCAATGTTGATCCTAGGACGTATTAGGGAGACCCCTTACAAGGCGGCCCTTCTGAAGCCTTACCTATGGCTCTGTCTTAAAAAGGACCTTATTGAGAGTGAGAAGGTCTATATCCCCAAGGTTCCCCCTAATCCTAACCCCTAGTTGACGGCCCTGTGGTGCAGGAGGCAGAGCCGCGATTCGAAGTCTCTGACCGTCGCCTTGCAAAGGCGGCACTCTTTAGGGGATCTATAACCTAGGCTAGCCCTGATATATAGAGGTCTGGAGACTTAGTAATCCTATCCCCTTATAGGCCACATATTGTAATCATGCTAATGCTATGGCTCCAGAACCCACTTCCACAGTCTAGCACCCATGCTACAATGCTCGTTTGCGGAGTGAAATGCCTTCACGTCGAAGGTGAAGCTAAGACCTGGAAACTTAAAGATGCATTCCACTGCCCAAGACAAGAGGCCAATGGCCCCGCGAACGACAAATTTGCTGACTGAGTTCAGCATCGAGGTTTTGCAGGATTTGGCATGTGGGATTAAAGCGGCAACGAGGTGACGAAGAGCATCACTTCATGAGTGCATTTGGGTTACGTACATAAATACACACATGCGTACATGCATACATGTGTACATGCATACATGCACACATGCGCACATGCATGCATGCATGCATACTTGTATCCATAGGTGTTCTATCCTAGCCTGTCCCAAGGTTCGACTCTTCTGTTCGCATTGGCACTGAACGTAAGTTGCAGGCCGTACGCCTTCTCCGCATCGCTGCTGCCGCTGCAGGCCACCGGGCCCTCAACGAGAACTGCTGCACTGGGGGGCCAGGATGGTGGGCATTCAGCGCATTCAGCGTAGGGTTTAGATGCTATTTAAGGGCCTTAGTAATTACCTATATAGCTTTGGGGATTTCTTATTATAAGTATAGTAGACTATACCCCAAAGACCCTATTCTAATTATCAAGGCTTTTTATATAATCAGAGAGGGAGTCCATGGGAGTGCTGAGGGCCACCGGGCCGCAACAGTTCCGGCTTTTTTGAAGTCCGAAAGCAGCAGAGCCGAGATGCAGGGAGGAGGGTAACGGTAAGTAAGGTGAAGAGGCTGTAGATTTCGAGATGTGGGGGTTTCCGACAATAAGGGGTACTTTATGTGGGGATCCTTATTATAGGGATCCTACTTTGTAGGGTACTATATTAGGGTCCCCTGTTTTCGGAAACCCCCATGTAAGGGCCCTTTGTATCAGTGCTCCGCTGGGTCCTTAGGATTTCCGACCGAGAAGCTGCGAGATGGCCTCGTGTGCAACCAAGGGGGCACCAGGGTTATCGAGTCCGACCTCCTCCTCCTTCGGCACGTCTTCTGGGATCGGGAACCAGCCCAAGGTGCGGATGTCAGGGGGCATTTTTTCTGAAATTCAGGGTTTGAGGACGGATAGGGTGTGAAGTGATGGCAGGGGTTTTAGAGTGGTGGAAATTTGCAGCCAATGGACTAAGGTTCCTCTAAGAGCCCAGTGAAGCCTGAGCTGAGCACAGAGCGCCTGCGAGCTGTCGGAACTGCATACTTGGAGGTTCATGGGTAGTTATAAGTGGGGTTATAAGTCCCCTAATATGGGTTATAACTATAGTTACCCTACTTGTACCCCCACTTATAACTACGCATGAACCTCCAAGTACTGGTATCAAGGTAGCTGATTTCAAAGCATCAAGAACATAATGAGATCCTGTGCCGCCTGCGTCCCGAAAGGCCCCAAGACCCGAAAATACACTGAGTCCTAGACCTTTCACCTCCAAGCCCTAAAACCCCAAACCCTAAACCCCAAACCCTAAACCCCAAGCCCTAAACCCTGAACCCAACCTCCAAGCCGAGCCCTGGAGGCCAACTGGTTGTCGAGTGGCTGTTGCGCCGGTTTGCTGACAGCGGCTCTGGGCAAAAGGCCGGGAGAGTCTTGCGGAAATGATGTGTAGAGGATCCTAGGTATTATTAGGGGTACCCCTTAAAGGGTACCCCTTCTGAACCCTACTTTTGGCTCTCTTAAAAGGGGCCTTATTGAGAGGGTCTATATCCCCAAGGGTCCCCTTAATCCTAGAGGAGCCCAAAATGCAGGACCTACTTTTTACATCTTCATTGGAGTATACATGCGATGGGGACACGCCTGACAGCAGTTACATGTAGAGCTATAGTAGCATGCACGACCATACCAATCAAGGGAATGAGCGATCGAATCTTCTGGCAGGCACATGGCTCGAAACCTGTAGCCGGCCAGTCGTTTACCCAATCCTTAGCACTTTCATGTCAGCCCTGCGCTGGATATGTTCCATCTCAGCCGCCCTCCTGACCACACATGCCCTTCGTGACGAATTGCTTCCAGCCGCTCGGCCACGGCAGATGGGTTATAGAGCTGTAGGACGGTTACTGTCAAGCCTTCTTTTTGGGATGGGGCTATCGGAATGCTATAAGGGTGCTACTAAGGATTCCTATCAGCTTTCTAGTAGGGTGGCTCTAGAGGTTCTAGAATTCTATGAGGCTTCTTCTAAGGTTGCTATCAGGGTTTTATAGCCTTTTTTTCTCCTGACTCGGAGTTTCGGCGCCTTCAGGAACTGTAAATATTAAGGGTTTAGGGTTTAGG